AACTGAATTTCCTGGAATTAAACATAGAATTCCATCCTTGATTCCAGCAGAATTTCCTGGAATAAACTTGGAATTCCGGCCCGAATTCCACTGGGAATTTTCAGGAGTTAAACATGGAATTCCATCCCAATTTCCTACTGAATTATCTGGAATTAACTTGGAATTCCAGACTGGTTTCCCACTGAATTTTCTGGAATTAAACTTGGAATTCCATCCCAGATTCCAGCAGAATTTCCTGGAATTAAACCTGGAATTCCATCCCGGTTTCCCACTGAAATCCCCGGAATGAAACTTGGAATTCTGGCCTGGTTTCCCCTGGAATTTTCAGGGGCTAAAGTTGGAATTTCATGCTGAATTCCCTCTGAATTTCTTGGAATTAAACCTGGAATTCCATCCCAGTTTCCAGCAGAATTTCCTGGAATTAAACATGGAATTCCATCCTGAATTCCCCTGGAATTTTCTGGAATTAAACTTGAAATTCCATCCTGGATTCCCACTGAATTTCTTGAAATTAAACTTGGAATTCCATCCCAATTTCCTACTGAATTATCTGGAAATAACTTGGAATTCCAGACTGGTTTCCCACTGAATTTTCTGGAATTAAACTTGGAATTCCATCCCAGATTCCAGCAGAATTTCCTGGAATTAAACCTGGAATTCCATCCCGGTTTCCCACTGAAATCCCCGGAATGAAACTTGGAATTCCGGCCTGGTTTCCCCCAGAATTCTCTGGAATTAAACCTGGAATTCTATCCCAAATTCCCGCTGATTTCTTGAAATTAAACTTGGAATTCCATCCCGGTTTCCCACTGAAATCCCTGGAATTATACTTGGAATTCCATCCTGAATTCCAGTGGAATTTCCTGGAATAAACTTGGAATTCCAGCCTGAATTCCTCTGGAAATTTCAGGAGTTAAACCTAGAATTCCACCCCAGTTTCCAACTGAATTATCTGGAATTAAAGTTGGAATTCCATCCTGGATTCCAGCAGAATTATCAGGAATTAAACTTGAAATTCCATCCTGGATTCCCACTGAAATCCCTGGAATTAAACTTGGAATTCCATCCCAATTTCCAACTGAATTTCTTGGAATTAAACATAGAATTCCATCCTTGATTCCAGCAGAATTTCCTGGAATAAACTTGGAATTCCGGCCTGAATTCCACTGGGAATTTTCAGGAGTTAAACATGGAATTCCATCCCAATTTCCTACTGAATTCTCTGGAATTAAACTTGGAATTCCGGCCTGGTTTCCCCTGGAATTTTCAGGGGCTAAACTTGGAATTTCATGCTGAATTCCCACTGAATTTCTTGGAATTAAACCTGGAATTCCATCCCAATTTCCAACTGAATTTCCTGGAATTAAACTTGGAATTCCGGCCTGGTTTCCCACTGAAATCCCTGGAATTAAACTTGGAATTCCATCCTGAATTCCCACTGAATTTCTTGGAATTACAATTGGAATTCCATCCCAGTTTCCAGCAGAATTATCAGGAATTAAACCTGGAATTCCAGCCTGAATTCCTCTGGAATTTTCTGGAGTTAAACATAGAATTCCATCCCAGTTTCCAACTGAATTATCTGGAATTAAAAATTCCTCTGGAATTTTCTGGAGTTAAACATAGAATTCCATCCCAGTTTCCAACTGAATTATCTGGAATTAAATTTGGAATTCCATCCCAATTTTCCCCAGAATTTTCAGGAGTTAAACATGGAATTCCATCCCAAATTCCAGCAAAATTTCCTGGAATAAACTTGGAATTCCATCCCAAATTCCCACTGAAATCCCTGGAATTCCACTTGAAATTCTATCCCAAATTCCAACTGAATTCTCTGGAATTAAACATGGAATTCCATCCCGGATTCCAGCAGAATTTTCTGGAATTAACTTGGAATTCCGGCATGGTTTCCCACAGAATTTCCTGGAATTAAACATGGAATTCTGGCCTGGCTTCCCCTGGAATTAAAATTGGAATTCCATCCTGGTTTTCCACTGAATTTTCTGGAATAAAACCTGGAATTCCATCCTGGTTTTTCCACCTTCCCACTGACGATCCCGGTTTTTCCTGGAGCCTCTTTTCCCATCCCCACCCCATCCTTTGGGTTTGAGTCTCCCCAGTGAAAATTCCGGGATCGGATTTTCCCGGAGATTTTTTCAGGAGTTTTGGAATCACAACCGGATTTCCCAGGAATGTGAAAATCCCGGAATTCCGGCTCAGAATTCCAGGCTCGGAGTAGATCCAAGGAAATCCCTGGAAATTCCCGGTTTTCCGTTCTTTTCCAAAACCTGGGATAATCCCTGAGCGAATCCCATGGGAATTTCCATGGAATTCTCTGGAATTTTGGAGCCGCAGATCCCAAAAATTGGGATTTTTTTTTTCCCATCTCTGGGTTCTCCATGGAAAAATCTTGGAATATTTGGAGGGAAAAACGCCCCTGGAGTTACAACCACAAATCCTTCGGGGGGGAAAGGGTTAAAGGGGTTTGGGAGCTCCCGACTGAGGAATCTGGGAATTTTTGGGATCGGATTTGGGGATTTTTAAGGGGATGGAAAAGAATTCCTGGGATTGAGGGATCTGGGATCTTCTGAGGGACGGATTTGGGAATTTTGGGATGGGATTTTGGATTTTTTTTGGGAAGAGGGGAGAGAATTCCTAGGTCTGAGGGGTTTGGGATTTCCTGAGGGATGAATTTGGGAATTTTGGGGTCGCTTTTAGGATTTTTATGAGGACAGGAAAGGGTTAAAGGTTCCTGAGCTGCTCAGGGAACTCCGGGATTCCCTGACTGAGGGATTTGGGAATTTTGGGATGGGATTTAGGATTATTTTTGGAAAAGGAGAGAGAATTCCTGGGGCTGAGGGATTTGGGATCTCCTGAGGGATGAATTTGGGAATTTTGGGGTTGATTTCGGGGTTTTAAGGAGGACAGGAAAGAGTTAAAAGTGGCTGAGATGTCCGGGATCTCCTCCCGATGGATTTGGGAATTTTGGGATGGGATTTTGGGATTTTTAGGAGGAGGGGAGAGAATTCCTGGGGCTGAGGGTTTTGGGATCTCCTGAGGGAGGGATCTGGGAATTTTGGGATCAGATTTGGGGATTTTTTAGGATGAATTCCCGAGGCTGAGGGGTTTGGGATCTCCTGAGGGATGGATTTGGGAATTTTGGGATGGGATTTGGGGTTGTTTTGGGAGGAAAGGAAAAAGTTAAAGGTGTCTGAGCTGCTCAGAGAATTCCGGGAGCTCCTGACTGAGGGATTTGGGAATTTTGGGATCAGATTTGGGGATTTTTTAGGATAAGTTCCTGGGACTGAGGGGTTTGGGATCTCCTGCCCGCGGGATTTGGGAATTTTGGGGTCGTTTTTAGGATTTTAAGGAGGACAGGAAAGGGTTAAAGGTGCCTGAGCTGCTCAGAAACCTCGGGAATCTCCTGACTGAGGGATTTGGGAATTTTGGGATGGGATTTCGGGACTTTTAGGAGGAGGGGAGAGAATTCCTAGGTCTGAGGGGTTTGGGATCTCCTGAGGGACGAATTTGGGAATTTTGGGATGGGATTTGGGGTTGTTTTGGGAGGAAAGGAAAGAGTTAAAGGTGTCTGAGCTTCCCACAGAAGTGCGGGAGCTCCTCCCAGCGGGATTTGGGAATTTTGTTGTTGGATTTCGGGGATTTTTAGGAGGACAGGAAAGAGTTAAAGGTGTCTGAGCTGCCCAGAGAGCTCCCGGACACCCCTTCCCGATAAATTTGGGAATTTTGGGATGGGATTTCGGGACTTTTAGGAGGAGGGGAGAGAATTCCTGGGGCTGAGGGGTTTGGGATCTCCTGAGGGACGAATTTGAGAATTTTGGGATGAGATTTGGGGTTGTTTGGGGGAGAACAGGAAAGAGTTAAAGGTTTCTGAGCTGCTCAGAAAATTCCGGGAGCTCCTGACTGAGGGAATTTTGGGATCAGATTTGGGGATTTTTTAGGATGAGCTCCTGGGTCTGAGGGGTTTGGGATCTCCTGCCCGAGGGATTTGGGAATTCTGGGGTCGGATTTTGGATTTTTAGGAGGACAGGAAAGGGTTAAAGGTGCCTGAGCTTCCCACAGAACTCCGGGAGCTCCTCCCAGCGGGATTTGGGAATTTCGGGGTCGGATTTCGGGATTTTTTAGGATGAGGGAAAAGTTCCTGGGGCTGAGGGGTTTGGGATCTCCTGCCCGAGGGATTTGGGAATTTCGGGATGGGATTTGGGGTTTTTAGGGAAGCGCTCCCCGCCTCCCTGCGAACGACAGGAAAAAAACAACTCCTTTTTCCAAGGATTTCCTGGAATTTTCAGCCAATGGGAGCGAGCCTGGAGGGAGGAGGAGGAGGAGGAGGAAGAAAAACAAATCCCAAAGTTTGGGGTTTTTTGGGATCACAAGAAAAAAAACCCCAAAAACCTTCGTGACCTTTTCACTTCCCGAAATTTCAACTTCCCGAAAATTTCGGCGGGATGAGAAAAATCCGGGATGAGAAAAATCCTGGATACGAAAATCCGGGACTACAGAAATCCGGGATACGAAAATCCGGGAAGACAAAAATCTGGGATACGAAAATTCGGGATATAAAAAATCCGGGATGAGCAAAATCCTGGATACGAAAGTCCGGGACCACAAAAATCCGGGATACAAAAATCCGGGATATAAAAATTCAGGACGAGAAAAATCCGGGATGAGCAAAATCCGGGTCTAAAAAAATCTGGGATACAAAAATTCGGGATACAAAAATCCGGGATATGAAAATCCGGGATGAGGAAAAACCGGGACTACAAAAATCCGGGAGGAGCAAAAATCCGGGATGACAAAATCCGGGATATAAAAAATCCGGGATGACAAAATCCGGGATGAGCAAAATCCGGGATTATTTAAAAAAAAAACCTCAGGAAAAGGGAAGAGGAGGAGCAGGAATTTTGGGAATGGCGAGGATCGGGATTTTGTAATTCCGTGGGAGGTTGGGATTTGGGGCTCTGCCCCCGATGTGGGAGGGAAAAATGGGAGGGAAAAATTCCAGGCTCGGGAAGAGCGAGAATTCCCAGATTTCCGAGCGTGCCGGAGATTGTTCCAGCCGGGAATTCGCTCCCTGCCAGGTAAATCCATCAAAATTCTGGGAATTTGGGATTTTCCGGGTGGGTTTGGGGTGGTGTTGAGGGCGGGGTTGGTTTATTCCACAGGAAATTTGGGAATGGGTTCACTAAGGAGAAGCGTGGGAATTTCAGGGAGGAGTTTTTGGGATTTTTCCCATGAAAATCGCGCTTTTCCCCCCCAAAAATTAGATGAATTATTATTATTATTATTATTATTATTATTATTATTATTATTATTATTATTATTATTATTATTATTATTATTATTATTATTACTATTACTATTACTATTACTATTACTATTATTAACATTATTAATATTATTATTAATATAATCATTAATATTATCATTAATATTAATATTAATATTAATAATATTTCTATTTCTATTTCTATTTCTATTTCTATTTCTATTTCTATTTCTATTTATTATTATTGTTATTATTATTTTTATTTTTATAATTTTAATTTTTATTATTTTTCTTCTTCTTATTATTATTTTATCTATTTTACTTTTATCTATTTAATTTAATTTAATTTAATTTAATTTAATTTAATTTAATTTTATTTTATTATTATTATTAATTGTTATTATTAATAATTATTATTTTTAATTGCTATTAATTGTTATTATTTTATCTTATTTTTTATTATAAAAATATATTTATATTTTTTATGGAATTTCTAAAAAATTAAATTAATTTTTTAATTATTGATTCATTTTTGTTTTTAATAAAAGTTGATTTTTTTTTTTTTATAGGAAATATAAGTTGATTTTTTTTTTTTTATAGGAAATATAAAATTAATTTTATTGCCGGTGGAATTCCGGTTTTTATCCTTGGGGCTTTTCCAGCGGGGAATTCCAGGGTGGATCAGAAAAGCTGGAAAAGAGTCTGGGAAGGGAGAGCAGGAATTTCAAAGGGAATAATTCAGTGAAAATCATTTTGTTAATAAAATATGAAATGAAATGAAATGAAATGAAATGAAATAAAATGAAATGAAATGAAATTAAAATATAAAATATAAAATATAAAATATAAATGAAATAAATATAAAATATAAAATATAAATGAAATACATAGAATAGAATAAAAGTAAAATAAAATAATAAAAAATATAAAATAAAAAAGAGAAATGAAATAAATGAAATAGAAAAAATAAAATAAAATAAAATAAAATAAAATAAAATAAAATAAAATAAAATAAAATAAAATAAAATAAAATAAAATAAAATAAAAATGAAATGAAATAAAATAAAATTGAAAGGAAATGAAATGAAATGAAATGAAATGAAATGAAATGAAATGAAATGAAATAAAATAAAATAAAATAAAATAAAATAAAATAAAATAAAATAAAATAATTGTATTAATTAAAATCCAATTTCCCGCTCATTTAATGAACAAAACGGACCAAATTTAATCAATAAAATCCCAAACTCCCCCCAGGAACTCATTTAAATATTAATTATTAATAATTAATATCATCAATAACCTCGGCTCCCCAGGAGCTGATCCCAGGCAAAAAAACTTCCTGGAATTCCATGAAAAACCAGGATGGGAGGATCCAGAATTCCATGAAAAGCTGGGATTGGGGGCTCCAGAATTCCATGGAAAACTGGGATTGGGGCTCTGGAATTCCATGGAAAATGGGGATCAGGGGCTCAGGTTTTCGGGAAGAGGCCGAGGAAAAGCCGGGTTTAAATTCCCATCTGAGTTTTAGGCCTGGCTTAAAATTGAGGGAAAATCCCGGAATTCCTGGAATGTGTAGCCGCTCCATGGGATTCCTGCATTCCCAAAAGGCCAAAAAAAAATGGGAATATTTGACAATCCGGGTGGGATTATCCCAAAAATCCTGCCCTGAAGGGGTTTTGGATGGAATAAAGGCGGGAATTCCAGAGGAATTTGGGGATAAAGGCGGGAATTTGGAGATTGGTGATTCCAGAGGGGGAGGATTTTTTGGGAATGGGAGCGGGAAAAAGCTGCAGGATTGGGAATGGCCAGGTCAGGATCCCTGGGATTCCCAACTGGAATTCCCAGCCGGAATTCCCAACTGGAATTCCCTTGGGAAAAGCTTTGGGTGGGAAAGCGCCCTGGGAATTTCTGCCTGGAATTGGGGGGGAATTTTCTCTGGGAATTTGTGGGAATTGTGGGAATTTCCTGTGGGAATTGTGGGAATTTTGTCAAGGAATTTCCTCTGGGAATTGCGGGGAATTCATCAGGAATTGGGGAGGATTTCCTTGGGGAATTTCATCCAGGAATTTTTAGGAAAATTTGGAAAAATTTGAGAAAAAAAACTGGGAAATTTTGAGAAAATTTGGGACAAAACTCTGGGAAAAATTTGAGAAAATTTGAGAAAAATCAGGAAAATTTGAGAAAAATCAGGAAAATTTGAGAAAATTTGGGAAAATCTGAGAAAATTTGGGAAAAAAACTCTGGGAAAAATTTGAAAAAAATTGAAAAAATTGGGAAAAATTGAGAAAAAAATTTTGCAAAATTTGAGAAAAAAATGGGGAAAATTTGGGGAAATCTGGGAATCTTGAGCTCGGTTGTGTCCAGTTGAGCCGTTCCCTTTCATCCCTTTCCCAACTTTTCCCGAGGATTTTTGGGATGGGCCCAGCTGGGATCGCCGCTGAGGGCGGGGAATCGATCCAAGGAAAATCAAAACCCTTGGACTGGATCCCAGGGATTCCATTCCCAGGAATTCCGGTCATTCCCGGTGTTTTCCAGGCCATGTCCGTGCCGGGAATTCTGGGATCGCTGCTCCAAGAGGAGGAAAAATTTTCCTCGTGCCTGGCCCGGCTCGACGCCCTCATCCTCAAACCTCTGCTCCAGGCAGGTAAATCCAGGGAATTTTGATCTGGAATTCCCACTGGGAAATGTTTTTTGGGAATGTTTTCTCTAAAATCGGGAAGCCCGAGCTCGGGGTTGTGTTTTTTTGGGATGGATCCGTGGAGAATTCATCCATAAATCCCTAAAATTTGGCTCCTCCTCTTTCCCTGCTCCCGTTCCAGGCTGATCCCGGATGGGAAAATTCCTGGGAATGGAATCCAGGGAATCCAAACAGCTCTGAAATCCAGGGAAATTCCTGGAGCCATTCCAGGAATTCCCTTGGGGATGATTCCAAGGAAACTGGGAAATTCCTTGGGAAAAAGACGGGAATTTTCCCTCCAGAGCACTGGGATGAGCTCCTGGAGAGTTTGGGATGGATTTTATCCCATTCCAGCAAAACCAACTCCAGGAACAGGGGAAATTCCTGGACTTTTCCCCTTTTTCAAATCCATTTTCCCATTTTTTTTTGGCTCCCCATTTCCCTAAATCATGGAATTTCTTCCTTGGAATTTCCCCTTTTCCCTTTTGTTTTTATCAGAGGCCACATTCCATGAATTTTTTTGGGAATCACAGCATTCCCACTGCATTTTTCCTGATTTTTTTCCCCACCCAGAACCCAACGATCCGAAGGAGAAGGAGAATTTCCAGCTCTTGGTGCTGCTCAACGATCGCTTCCAAGCCCTCTGGAATTTCACGGAGGAGAATTCCCGGATCCTGAGGGGCTCCGATTCCGGCTGTATCCAGGATTTTTACATCCTCTGGAAAGGAGATCTCTTCCTCAGCCTCTCCATCCAGTGAGAGCCGGAATTATTTATTACTGTTATTATTATTATTATTATTATTATTATTATTAGTAGTAGTAGTAGTAGTAGTAGTAGTAGTAGTAGTAGTAGTAGTAGTAGTAGTAGTATTAGTATTATTATCATTATCATTATCATTATCATTATCATTATTATTTATTATTACTATTATCATTATTATTATAAATACTATTATTTTTATTATTATTTTTATTCTATTTTATTATTTATATTATTATAATTTATTTATTATTTATTATATATTATATATTATATATTATATATTATATATTATATATTATATTATATTATTATAGAATTACATTATTATATAATATTATATAATTTTATATAATTTCTATATAATTTTTATATAATTTTTATATAATTATTCCGGAGCGGGAAAACGGGATTCCGTGGATCCCGGTTGGGAATATCAGGAAAAATCGGGATGAGAATCCTCGGAATATCCCAGAAAATTGATTGCATTGGGTTTTTTTTTTTCCATGAATTTGTGCTTTTGGGTCGGTAGCTGAGATTCCAAAGGGAATCAAATCTTATGGAGAGCTGAAATTCCGTAAAAATCTTTAATTCCACCTTTTTTCTTCTCCATAAAAGTGGCCAAAATTTTTCCAGGTTGGGATTTTCCAGTTGCGATTTTCCACTTAGGATCAAAATCCCGGGAATTCAAGTTGGTTTTCCTGAAGAAATGGGGAAAAAAATGGGAATTTGGGATGAGATTTGGAAATGATCCAAAGGAATTTGTCTGGAGATTTTATTCCCGTTTCTTTTGGAATTAAACCCGGGTTTAACGTGGGATTTGTTGGGAAAATGTGGGATTTGAGTGGGAAAATCTGGGATTTGTTGGGAAAATCAGGGATTTGTTGGGGAAATGTGGGATTTCTTGGGGAAGTCTGGGATTTGAGTGGGAAAATCTGGGATTTGTTGGGGAAATCTGGGATTTGTTGGGAAAATGTGGGATTTGTTGGGAAAATCTGGGATTTGGTGGGAAAATCTGGGATTTAAGTGTGAAATCTGGGATTTGTTGGGAAAATCTGGGATTTGTTGGGAAATCCGGGATTTTTTGGGAAAATCTGGGATTTGAGTGGTAAAATCTGGGATTTGAGAGGGAAAATCTGGGATTTGTTGGGAAAATCTGGGATTTGAGTGGGAAAATCTGGGATTTGAGTGGGAAATCTGGGATTTGTTGGGGAAATCTGGGATTTGAGTGGGAAAATCTGTGATTTTCCGTGAATTTTTGATAAAATTGCAGCTCTTGGAAAAAAAACTGTGGAAAATATTAAATGGGAAAAGAAAATTCTGAATTTGGAGAAATGAATGGAGCTCAGAACCGAAACAATTCCATCATTTCCATCCCAGAATTCCCAGATTTTCCAAATTCTGATGGGAATTCCGGGCTGAGGAATTCCTACAGGCAGGAATTTCATTCCATGAAATCCGATGGAAACGGATCCCGCTCCCATCAGCGCTTTTATGCCCAAAAATCCTGGAATTAAAGTCGGAAAAAAATTCCCGGATCCAATCCGACCTTTAGTGGGATTAAGGGAATTTCCCAATGATTTGGGATCCCGAAATTCATCCCGAATTTCCTTCTCCCGTGTATCCTTGGAATTTTTTCCAGGTATTTTGTCACCTTCGCCAATTTCGTGGTGGTTCAAGGATTCGAGCGGGCGGCCGGGAACAAGAGGTCAGCAGCTGGAAAATCCTTGGGAATCTTGGGAATCCATGGAATTCAGGGACAATTCCAGGATTTTCCTCTTTCCAAGCACTCCCAGCTCCATTTAGAGTCAGAATTCTGGGATTTAGGGACAATTCCAAGATTTTCCTCTTTCTAAGCTCTCCCAGCTCCCTCTGGAGTCAGCAACTTGAAATTTGGGGATTTAGGGAAAAGATGGGATTGGAAAGCAGGAATCTGGCTGGGAATTCCTCTAATCCCAGATTTTGATGGAAACAGGGAATGAAAATGTGAATTTCTAAAGAGCCCATTCCCAAACCCTTTATTCCCAATTTTTCCGTGGCTCAGTTCCAGGATTTTCCTCTTTCCAAGCGCTCCCAGCTCCCTCTGAGTTGGAATTCTGGGATTTAGGGACAATTCCGGGATTTCCCTCTTTCCAAGCTCTCCCGGCTCCCTCTGAATTTTGAATTCTGGGATTTAGGGACAATTCCAGGATTTTCCTCTTTCCAAGCTCTCCCAACTCCATTTAGAATCCGAATTCTGGGGTTTAGGGAAAGGGTGGGATGAAATTCCCTTTAATCCCATCTTTTGACAGCTGAAAATCCCAATTCCCTGATTTTTTCACGGCGATTCCAGCAGAATTAACGACCTTTTCTCCTCATTCCCGATTTTCCAGCGAGGCCTGGAAGCGGCACAAGGCGGTGCTGAAGGAATTCCTGCGGGATTTCAGCTCCGAGAGCTCCCTGGCTCCGGCTCTGCACTCGGAGCTCCTCAAACCTTTCCGGGAGCACGGCCAGAGCTGCCTCCGGCTCCTCCGGCAGCTCCGGGAGCAGCTCCAGGAGGTGGGAATGGGTCTGGAATGCTCGGGGTTTTGGCGGGAAGAAATATTCCCAAAAATCCAGCCTGGATATTGCTGAATATTCCCAAAAATCCAGCCTGGACATTGCTAAATATTCCCAAAAATCCAGGCTGGATCTCCTTTGCTGAATATTCCCAAAAATCCAATCTTTATGGATTTATTTATCTTTATTCATTGCTGAATATTCCCAAAAATCCAACCTGGATATTGCTGAATATTCCCAAAAATCCAGCCTGGATCTCCTTTGCTGAATATTCCCAAAAATCCTGCCTGGATATTCCTAAATATTCCCTAAAATCCAGCCTGGACATTGATAAATATTCCCAAAAATCCAGCCTGGATATTGCTGAATATTCCCAAAAATCCAGGCAGGACCTCGCCAAACATTCCTGAAAATCCAGCCTGGACATTGCTGAATATTCCCAGAAATCCAGCCTGGATATTCCTAAATATTCCCAAAAATCCAACCTAGACATTGCTAAATATTCCAGGAATTCCAGCTTGGATGTTGCTGAATATTCCCAAAAATCCAGCCCGGACATTGCTGAATATTCCTGAAAATCCAACCTGGACATTGCTAAATATTCCCAAAAATCCAGCCTCGATATTGCTGAATATTCCCTAAAATCCAGTGTGGATCTCCTTTGCTGAATATTCCCAAAAATCCCTGGATATTCTTAAATATCCCAAAAATCCAGTGTGGATCTCCTTTGCTGAATATTCCCAAAAATCCAATCTTTATGGATTTATTTATCTTTATTCATTGCTAAATATTCCCAAAAATCCATTCTGGATATTCCTAAATATTCCCAAAAATCCATTCTGGATATTGCTCAATATTCCCGAAAATCCAACCTTTATGAATTCATTACTGAATATTCCCAAAAATCCAATCTGTAAATTGATAAATATTCCCAAAAATCCAGGCAGGACCTTGCCAAACATTCCCGAAAATCCAGCCTGGATATTCTTAAATATTCCCAAAAATCCAGAATGGATATTTTTAAATATTCCCAAAAATCCAGCCCGGATCTCTCTTCCCCCCACCGGGAGCATTCCCGGATTTTTCCATCCTTTCCCAGGGCCCCGAGCGGGACGCGGCTGGAGCCGTGGAGCGGGAATTCGGGAAGTTGGAATCCTTCGTCAGCCAGGTCCTGGATGAAGCCGCCCGCACCAAGGAGCTCTGGAATTCCCTGGGATGTAAATTAACCGTGAGTCCGGAATGGGATGGGAGAGGGAATGGGAGTTTGGGAATGGGAGAGGGAATGGGAGAGGGATTGGGAATGGGAATGGAAATGGGAATGGGAATGGGAATGGGAATGGGAATGGGAGAAGGAACGGGAACGGGAATGGGAATGGGAATGGGAGTGGGAATGGGAATAGGAATGGGAGAGGGAATGGGAATGGGAAAAGGAATGGGAATGGGAGAGGGATTGGGCTTGGGATTGGGAATGGGAATGGGAATGGGAATGGGAGAGGGAATGGGAATGGGAGAGGGAATGGGAATGGGAATGGGAGAGGGAATGGGATTGGGAGAGGGAATGGGATTGGGATTGGGAATGGGAGAGGGAATGGGAATGGGAGAGGGATCAGGAGTTTGATAAGAATTGGGAATTTGATTTGGATTGGGAGTTTGATAAAGACTGGGAATTTGATATGGATCAGAATTTGATTTTCATGGGGAATTTGATCTGGATTGGGAATTTGATTATCATGGGGAATTTGATATAGATTGGGAATTTGATATGGATCAGGAATTTGATAAGAATTGGCAATTTGATCTGGATTGGGAATTTGATTTTCATGGGGAATTTCATAAGGATGAGGAATTTTATAAGGACAAGGAATTTGATATGGATCAGAATTTGATATGGATTGGGAATTCGATAAGGATTGGGAATTTGATATGGATCAGAATTTGATCTGGATCAGAATTTGATAAGGATCGGGAATTTGAGGCTGGAATTCCATAGAACAGAGATGGGTGGGGGAGTTGGAGAAAATCCTGGAATTTTTGTCCCAGATGTGTTGCTCTCCCTGGAACCCTGAGCCAGAGGGAATTTGATGTGGATAGGGAATTTGATCTGGATTGGGAATTTGATCTGGATTCGGAATTTGATGTGGATCAGGAATTTGATGTGGATCGGGAATGTGATGTGGATCAGGAATTTGATGTTGATCGGAAATCTGGGGCTGGAATTCCATCAATCAGAGCTGGCTGGAGGAGCTGGGGGAGCTCCCTGGGGGAGCCGAGTTTGTGCCCCACATTCAACACCCCGAGCCAGCTGATCCCAGCGGGAATTCCCGCCCGGAATTCCGTGTCCTCTCCCAATCCCGGTTTTTCCCACCACTCCAGGACGTGCTGCGCGTTCCGGAGCGGAGACTCCTGGAGGACAGCAGGAACCTTCCCATCGCTTCCGGCAGCTCCCGCTCCGAGCGTCTCCTGCTCTTCGACGACGTCCTGGTGCTGATCCAGGTGAGTCCGGGATCCTCCAGAGGGAGCAGGAAGAGAACACGGAAAAAAGCACCCTAAAATTTTTATTTTTATTTTTATTTTTATTTTTATTTTTATTTATATTTATATTTATATTTATATTTATATTTATATTTATATTTATATTTATATTTATATTTATATTTATATTTATATTTATATTTATATTTATATTTATATTTATATTTATATTTATATCTATATCTATATCTATATCTATATCTATATTTATATCTATATTTATATATTTATATATTTATATATTTATATATTTATATATTCACATTTATATTTATATTTATATTTATATTTATATTTATATTTATATATTCACATTTATATTTATATTTATATTTATATTTATATTTATATTTATATTTATATTTATATTTATATATAACATATAAAACTATATATAATAATTACAAAAATTACTGGAATTTCCTGAAGGAATGGCTGGAAAATTCCAGGTTTTTTGATGCTGAAAATCCAGCAGAGTTCAGCTGATTGGAAAAGTTGGGAAAATTTTGTGTGGTTGGCTCTGGGGAAAAAAAAAGGAAAATCTGGGAAGGAGTAGAGGAGATCCACAGGATTTTCCCAGGAAATGTGGATTCGGGCACCTTTGGAGTGATCCAAACCCTTTTCCACAGGGAATTTGGGCCCTTTGTTATTCCAAGGGATCTGCTGGATCAAGGCTGAGATCCCGGATTGGGATCAATGGGATTTTCCGTGTTTGTGGCAGGGCTGAAGATGCTGGAGGTGGTTTTGGGAATTTTGGGCTGTGGGGATGTGTTCCTGTGAGGGAATTCCCGCGGAATTCTGGTTTGGAAGCTCCTGGGATCCAGCAGGAATCTCTTCCTGCTCCTCAAGTATCCCAACACTGCCCTGGGAGCTGGAACATTCCCAAATTCTCCCAAACAAAACTTTGGGAATAATCAGAATCCAACCTTGGGAATGGGGTGGAGGTTCCCTTCTCCACCCGGACACTGCGGAATTCTCATCCCTGAGATGATGAGAATTCCCTAAAAACTCCAGGAAGAGCATCCCGTGCCATGGAATTTGGGTTTTCCACATTTTTGGATGAGCTGGATCCCGGCCCAGCTCCGGTGCCTGGGATGGGAACCGGGATCAGCAAATCCATGGAATTATCTCCGTGTTCGATCCGCGATTCCCGTCTGTGTCTCTCCTGCTGCTGCCGAGCTTTATGGAACATTGGGAATTCCAACTGGATTCGGATGGACCTGGTTGGGAATCTTGACATCCCTTCCTTGCCTCTTTTCCCAAATCCGGGAGAACATTCTGGGAATTCCTTGGAAAACTCCATCCTGCCAGGCAGCAGCTCCGTGTGGACACCTGGATGGGAAAGGAGATGGGAAATGGAATTTTTTCCTTTTCTTCCATGTTGGATTTTGTTCTGTTCCTCTGCTGCTGATCCCAAAATCCTTCAATTTGGGATTCCTGGGATATTTTTTGGCGCTGCTGCCCGGAGTCCGAATCCTAAATAAATCCTGGGATGGATTGGATGGGAAGGGAGTTTAAAGCTGATCCATTCCCACTTCATTCCGTGTTTCCCACAATCCCAGTTTGCTCCAACCTTTCTTTGGACACATCCGGGGATGGGGCAGCCACAAATCTCCGGGAATATTGGCTGGAATGATTTGGGAATGTTGTCGTGTGGTGGGGAAGGAATTCCCGTGGACATCGGGGTCACCTGGGAATGTTTCACTCCTGGGCGTGGCCATGGAATTTTGGAAGATCTTTAGGAATGTTCAGACCAGAAATTCCCTCCTTTTCCCGTGGTTTTTCCATCTCTGGTTCAAAAAAATCGGGAATTTGAGCTTCCCCTCCACCTCTGCTATTCCACGGATGTTTCCAGCAATGCCCTTTTCCCGTTTTTTCCAGGGAAACAGCTTCCAGAGTTTTGATCTGAAGTTGGTGTGGGTGGATGAAAACTGCGGAGAGAAATTGGCTCCGGGATCGTGAGTGAGAAATTCCTACCGGGAATTCAAAAAATATTCCAGGAATAAAAACGTTCAGGTGGATGGGAAAACGCTCCAAAGCTTTTTCCCATCTCCTTTCCGAGCGGTGGGGTTGGGATATGGATAACGGGATCTCAGCAGCTTGGAATTTGCTGCCAGATTGAAATCCCAGGATTTCTGAGGTTGGAAAAAACCCCTCTGGAATCATCAAATCCCACCTCGTTCCCAGAATTCCTCGGACACCTCCAGGGATGGAAACTCCAAACCTCCCTGAGCAATCCCGACCCAAGTTTTCCATAAAAAAATTCCTGCTGATATCCGACCCTCCCCAGGCACAACCCGAGGCCATTCCCTCTCATCCCGTTCCTCACCCATCAATCCCAAAATTATTTAATCCAGCAGAACTCCAGAAAAAAAACTAAAAAAACACCTGGAAAAGCACCGGGATCTCCAGGAGGAAAATCCGACAGATCGGGAATTGCGTTTTCCATCCTTTTTTTGGTTTTTGTTCCCTCCCAGGCACGGCCTGCGCGTCACCACCCCGGAGGAGACGTTCGTCCTCTCCACCAAGGACCCCCAAACCAAGGTCAGGATTTGGGATTTTCCCATTTCCATAATATTTAAATCAGGAGAATAATCCAGAGTGGGATTGGGTTGGGATTTTTCCCCTCCTTTTCCAAAAAAAAAATCCTGGATGAGACTCCAGAGGTTGCTCAGAGCTGATGTTGGTGGGAACCCATCGGTTTTTTGTCTTTCTTTTTTAACATTTTTCCCGTTTTTTCACATCTGAGCGGGAATTCCTCCCTCCCACCTGTCCAGGAGAATCCCCTTGGAATTTCCATAAATTCCTCAGTGCTTCCTTGACATCATCTCCGTCCCATTTTCCCGGGATCAGCGCCGATTCCCACAAATTCCTCAGTGCTTCCCTGGAGTCGTCTCCAGATGATTTTCCCGGGATTGGCGCTGATTCCCACAAATTCCTCAGCGCTTCTGGGATCGGGTTGGGATTTTCCCCTCATTTTAAAAAAAAAATCCTGGATGAGACTCCAGAGGTTGCTCAGAGCTGATGTTGGTGGGAACCCATCGGTTTCTCGCTGCTTTTCAACCTGAATTTTGTCTTTCTTTTTTAACATTTTTCCCCTTTTTTTCACATCCGAGTGGGAATTCCTCCCTGCCACCTGTCCAGGAGAACCCCCTTTGGAATTCCCACAAATTCCTCAGCGCTTCCCTGACGTTTTTCCCATTGATTTTCCCTTGATGGGCGCTGATTCCCACAAATTCCTCAGCACCTCCCTGACCTCGTCTCTGTCCGGTTTTCCCGGGATCGGCGCTGATTCCCACAAATTCCTCAGCACTTCCCTGGAGTCGTCTCCAGTTGATTTTCCCAGGATCGGAGCTGATTCCCACAAATTCCTCAGCGCTTCCTCGATGTCATCTCCATCCGTTTTTCCCGGGATGGGCTCTGATTCCCACAAATTCCTCAGTGCTTCCCCGACGTTTTTCCCGTTGATTTTCCCTTGATGGGGGCTGATTCATGGGGGCTGATTCCCACAAATTCCTCAGAGCTTCCCCGATGTCATCTCCAGATGATTTTCCTGGGATCAGTGCTGATTCCCACAAAATCCTCAGCGTTTCCTCGACATCATCTCTGTCCCATTTTCCCGGGATCAGCATTGATTCCCACAAATTCCTCAGCGCTATCCAGCTGTTTTCTCCATCCGTTTTTCCTGGGATGGGCTCTGATTCCACTCCTCTCCCTGTTTTCCGTGCCCGCAGGCCGTGTGGCGCTGGAAGCTGGAGCAGGCCGTGCGCCAGGCGCTCAACGGGAAGCGCGATTTCCCGCTCTGGGGCGGCAGCGGCGACGGAGCCGAGGCTCCTTCCCGAAGATTCTTCAGCTACGGATTCCGCAGGGACAGCCGGCTCCGAGGGGCCACCTACGAGGGCGAGTGGCTGGAGGGGAAACCCCACGGCAAGTAAGGAACAGCCTGCGACACTTTTCCGGGCGGGAATGAGGCTGGAAGTGGATTTTGGGTCCCTTTTTCGGTGGGAATGATGTTGGAAGTGCCTTTTGGGCTCCTTTTCCGGGGGGGAATGAGGCTGGAATTGCCTTTTGGGGACTTTTTCCAAGCGGGAATGAGGCTGGAAATGGATTTTGGGGACTTTTTCCAAGTGGGAAGAAGGTAGGAATTGACTTTTGGGCCCCTTTTCCAAGTGGGAATGAGGCTGGAAGTGGATTTTGGGCCCCTTTTCCAAGCTGGAATGAGGTTGGAATTGCCTTTTGGGGACTTTTTCCGGGCAGGACTGAGGCTGGAATTGTCTTTTGGGGTTTTTTTCCAAGCGGGAATGAGGCTGGAAGTGCCTCTTGGGGACTTTTTCCAGGTAGGAAGGGTTGGAAGTGACTTTTAGGACCCTTTTCCAAGCCGGAATGAGGCTGGAATTGTCTTTTGGGGACTTTTTCCAGGTGGGAATGAGGCTGGAAGTGGATTTAAGGCTGCTTTTCCAAGCAGGATTGAGAACGGAAATGGTTTTCAGGTCCCTTTTCCAGGCAGGATTGAGGATGGAATTGTCTTTTGGGGTTCCTTTTCCAAGCTGGAATGAGGCTGGAATTGTCTTTTGGGGACTTTTTCCAGGTGGGAATGAGGCTGGAAGTGGATTTAAGGCTGCTTTTCCAAGCAGGATTGAGAACGGAAATGGTTTTCAGGTCCCTTTTCCAAGCTGGAATGAGGCTGGAATTGCCTTTGAGCACCTTTTTCCAAGCGGGAATAATCTTGGAAGTGCCTTTTGGGCCCCTTTTCCAGGCTGGAATAAGGATGGAGGCGCCTCTTGGCCCCTTTTCCAAGCGGGATTGAGGCTGGAAGTGCCTTTTGGGTCCCTTTTCCAGGCGGGAATGAGGCTGGAATCGCAGGTTTGGCATTTCCGTGATGGTTGGGAAAGATCCCCGAGCTCCTCCACCACATCCGATCCTTTTCCAGGCACCTCCAGGATGGGACAAATTCCCAGAGGGAATTCTGGCCCTGAGGGAATTCCAGAGGGAATTCCAGAGGGAATTCTGGCCCTGAGGGAATTCTGGTCTGAGGGAATTCCAGATGGAATTCTGGCCTGAGGCAATTCCAAAGGGAATTCCAGAGGGAATTCTGCCCTTGAGGGAATTCTGGTCTGAGGGAATTCCAGAGGGAATTCTGTCCTGAGGCAATTCCAGAGGGAATTCCAGAGGGAATTCTGGCCTGAGGGAATTCCAGAGGGAATTCTGGCCTCGAGGAGGGGTTTAGCAAAGGCTGAGAGGGAAAATTTGGGATTAATTGTGGATGTCTCATCCATGTTTTTTTGTGGATTCAATCCAGGAATGTGGTGTGGATCAGCCTGAGGGGGCTGCAGGGGATGGTGACTCTAATTAGGGCTGGAATTAGGATTTATAGTTAATTATATGTAAATTAGATGTGTATATGTATGCTAAAAAATTATATAGATATAAAATAAATAATAAAATATAAATATATAAATATATAAATATACATATACATATACATATACATATACATATACATATACATACAAATATAAATATAAACATAAATTAAAAAATGTATTTATGTTTATATTTATATAAATATACATATAAATACAAACATAAATATAAACATAAATAAAAATATATTTATATTTATATTTATATTTATATTTATATTTATATTTATATTTATATTTATATTTATATTTATATTTATAAATAACATATAGAATTATATATAATAATTATATATTATTTACAATATGTATTCAAATTATATATAAAATTCTATATATTAATACCTAAATATATATAATATATTATATACATATATTATATATAAATATAAAATATAATTTATAAATATATAAATTAAATATTAAATATTCCCTGAGGAATATTCCCATTCCCAGGTGAACATTCCCATTCCCTGTGGAACATTCCCATTCCTGGTGAACATTCCCATTCCCAGGTGAACATTCCCAGGTGAACATTCCCATTCCCTCTGGAATATTCCCATTCCTGGTGAACATTCCCATTCCCAGGTGAACATTCCCATTCCCAGGTGAATATTCCCATTCCCCATGGAACATTCCCATTCCTGGTAAACATTCCCAGGTGAACATTCCCATTCCTGGTGAACATTCCCAGGTGAACATTCCCCTTCCTTGTGGAACATTCCCATTCCCTCTGGAATATCCCATTCCTCGGGCCGAACCTTTCCCTAAAACCCAACCGAAACCTGGCCGTGCTCCGGCTTTTCCCTCCTCCCTTTTTCCATTCCCACGCACGAATCCAAAGGGAAGCGATCCAAGGATTTCAAAATCCTGGAAAAGCTGGAGCTGCTCCAGTCTCGCGGAGGCGTCGGGAACAGCCGGAGAAATCCAAACAACCCCGGGCCAGGTTTTGGTGTTTCGCCATCCGGAGGTCGGGATGAAACCTCGGGATGGAATTCCCGGAGATTCCAGGCTGCCCCTGGATCCCTGGGATATCCAAGGAAGGATTGGAGCAGCCTGGGATAACGGGAAACGTTCCTGGCACGGGGTTGGGATTTTAAGATTCCCATCAAGGCCCAAAAATTCCAGGATTTTTAATTGTTCTCATTGGGATTTGGAGCAGAGGAGGGGAAGAAAAATATTCCAACATTCCCTGAGGGATTCCAAAGCCTCCAGCTCCAAAATGAGCTCGGAATTCCTGAAATTCCCAAAATTCCCGATTTTCCAGGCTGCTGGCTTTCCCTCAGCCCAATTCCCAGTTTTAATTCCATGCTCTAATTCCATTTGGGAAGGAATTCCTGGCAATTCCATGGGGTTGGAACTTTGAAGATCCCAAAAATTCCGTAATTCCAGGATTTCCAATCGTTCCAATTGGAGGCAAAGCAAGGGAGAGGAGAAAAAAAATTCCAACATTCCCTGAGGATTCAAAAAATTCCAACATTCCCTGAGGGATCTCTGAGGGATTCCCAAGCTCCAAATTCCCAAAATTCCTGATTTTCCAGGCTGCTGGCATTCCCAGTTTTTATTCCAAGCTCCATTTGGAATTGGAAATTTGATTGGAATTTCAAATTGGAATTTTATTCCAATTCCATTTGGGAAGGAATTCCTGGCTGGGAGGGGCTGGGCTGGAATTCCCTGGAATTCTCTGAATCCCTGGAAGTGGCCACGGTTGGGATGGTGGGAATGGCCCTGGGATGGGATGGGATGGGATAGGATCAGTGGAATGGGATGGGATGATCCCGAAATCCCAAACTGGGGAAACTGGGATTGGGATCGGGACTGGAACTGGTATCAATGGGGAGGAGCCGGAATTCCCAGAGATTTGGGGCTGTCCCTGAATCCCAGGAATGTCCAGGTCGGACTCTCGGATCAGCCTGGGATTGTGGGAGGTGTCCCCAAAGCATTCCAGGATTTTGGAATTCTGTTGGAAATCAGGGATCCGATTTTCTGGGATGAGGCCGGAATTAAATTAAAGCGGGAACCCGGCGAGGAGGGAAATCGCTCCGGACCCGGCAGGAATTCCGAGATTTCGGGAATTCCATTTTTATCCTGGAATCCCTTTTCCAACCCCCAAAATCCACGGAATCGCCGATCCCTCAGGACTGGAATTCCTGGCTGGATTTGGATTAATTCCAATTGCGCTTGGATTAATCCCTGTAATTAATTCGGGATCAGCTGCCAGGTCCTAAAGGCACCTCCAAAAAATAATTTTGGGATTAGAGAATTCCAAAGGATTCTTCCCACTCATCCCAGGGCCGGAAAACATTCCGGAATTAAATCGAGGCCTGGAGGTGCCTTTTGGCTCTCCGGCCTTCGAGGAATTTTTTTGGATGGAATTTTTCCCCCTAAAATCTGGGAATTGATGAACGAAATGGAAAGGAATTCCTGGGAAAAAACCTTGGGAATGATCCAATTCCAAACTCCGCTCAAAGCTGTGGCTGAACCGGCCTGGATGTTAATTAGCGGCCTGAATGCTAATTAGACTAATTAATATTGGCTGGGATTTGGGAGCTCCTGTTCCAGGCGGGAATGTCAGGATATTCCATGCGGGAATGTGGGACTGGATTCCGGGGAAAAGGGGATTCCAGGGATTTAAAATTCCAGGGAAAAGGGAATTCCAGGGATTTAAAATTCCAGGGAAAAGGGGATTCCAGGGATTTAAAATTCCAGGGAAAAGGGAATTCCTGGGATTTAAAATTCCAGGGAAAAGCAGGTTCCAGGGATTGAAAGGGAGAATGTTGGGATTTTCCCCATGGGAATGTCGGGATGTTCCATTTGGGAATGTCTGGATGAATTCCAGAGAAAATTCCAGAGAAAAGGGGATTCCAGGGACTTAAAATTCCAGGGAAAATGGAGTTCCAGGGATTTAAAATTCCAGGGAAAAGGGGATTCCAGGGATTTAAAATTCCAGGGATTTAAAATTCCAGGAAAAAGGGGATTCCAGGGATTTAAAATTCTGGGAAAAAGGCAGTTCCATGGGTTTAAAATTCCAGGGAAAAGGCGATTCCAGGGATTGAAAGGGAGAATGTCGGGCTGTTCCATGTGGGAAAGTCGGGATGTTCCAGGTGGGAATACCGGGATGTCCCATGTGGGAGTGTCGGGATATTCCAGGTGGGAATGTCGGGATATTCCGTGCGGGAATGTCGGGATGTTCCATGTGAGAGAATTCCCTGCATTCCAGGGGGACGCTGAAGTGGAGCGACGGCCGCAACCACGTGGGCGATTTCCGGGAGGGCCGGGAGCACGGGTGAGCCTGGGAAAACGGGAGCTTTTCCATGCTGGAATTTCTCAAGCTGGGCTTTTCCATCCTGATGTTTTCCATGCTGGAATTTGTGCTTGGATTCGCCATGCCGGAATTTTCCACGTTGGAATTTTCCATGCTGGAATTTTCCCTTCTGACCTTTTCCATCCTGACCTTTCCCATGCCGGAATTTTCCATCCTGGAATTTTCCCATGCTGGAATTTTTCCCTGCTGGAATTTTCCCTGCTGGAATTTTCCATGCTGGAATCTTCCATACTGGAATTTTCCCTACAGGAATTTTCCCTGCTGGAATTTTCCATCCTGATGTTTTCCATGCTGGAATTTCTACTTGGCTTTTCCATGCTGGAATTTTTCCATCCTGACATTTTCCCCGCTGGAATTTTCCCTGCTGGAATTTTCCCTGCTGGAATTTTTCCCGCTGGAATTTTCTCTTCTGGAATTTTCCCTGCTGGAATTTTCCACACTGGAATTTTCCCTGCTGGAATTTTCGGTGATGGAATTTTCCCTGCTGGAATTTTTCCCTGCTGGAATTTTCCCTGCAGGAATTTTCCCTGCTGGAATTTTCCATGCTGGAATTTTCCATATGTTGGGATTTTCCATCCTGATGTTTTCCATGCTGGAATTTTCGGTGATGGAATTTTCCACACTGGAATTTTCCATGCTGGGATTTTCCATGTTTGACTTTCCCTTTCTTTTGTTTTCCATGCTGGAATTTCTACTTGGCTTCTCCATGCTGGAATTTTCCATCCTGACTTTTTCCCCGCTGGAATTTTCCATGCTGGAATTTTCCCTGCTGGAATTTTTCCCGCTGGAATTTTCTCTTCTGGAATTTTCCCTGCTGGAATTTTCCACACTGGAATTTTCCCTGCTGGAATTCTAGGTGATGGAATTTTCCCTGCTGGAATTTTTCCCTGCTGGAATTTTCCCCGCAGGAATTTTCCATGCTGGAATTTTCCATATTGGAATTTTCCATCCTGATGTTTTCCATGCTGGAATTTTCGGTGATGGAATTTTCCACACTGGAATTTTCCATGCTGGGATTTTCCATGTTTGACTTTCCCTTTCTTTTGTTTTCCATGCTGGAATTTCTACTTGGCTTCTCCATGCTGGAATTTTCCATCCTGACTTTTTCCCCGCTGGAATTTTCCATGCTGGAATTTTCCCTGCTGGAATTTTTCCCGCTGGAATTTTCTCTTCTGGAATTTTCCCTGCTGGAATTTTCTGTGCTGGAATTTTCCATGCTGGAATTTTCCCTTCTGGAATTTTCAGTGATGGAATTTTCCCTGCTGGAATTTTTCCCTGCTGGAATTTTCCCTGCTGGAATTTTCCATGCTGGAATTTTCCATGTTGGGATTTTCCATCCTGATGTTTTCCATGCTGGAATTTTCGGTGATGGAATTTTCCACGCTGGAATTTTCCATGACTGGAATTTTCCTTGCTGGAATCTTCCCTGCTGGAATTTTCCATGTTGGAATTTTCCATCCTGACCTTTTCCATGCTGGAATTTTCCCTGCTGGAATTTCCCCCCTGAGCATTCCCCGTGTTCCCGGCAGGTTCGGGATCCGCCTGGTCCCGCGGCGCTCCGAGGATCGCTACGACTGCTACAAGTGCCACTGGCAGCAGGGCAGGATGAGCGGCTATGGAATCTGTGAGTAAGTGAATTCCAGGGCTCGGAATTCCAGGGAAAAAGGGAATTCCAGGGATTTAAAATTCCAGGCAAAAGGAGGTTCCAGGGATTTAAAACTCCAGGGGAAAAGGGGGCTCAAGGGAGTTAAAATTCCAGGGAAAAGGGGGTTCTGGAGATGTAAAATTCCAGGGGAAAAGGGGTTCCAGGGAATTAAAATTCCAGGGCTTGAAATTCCTGGGAAAATGGGGTTCCAGGGATTTAAAATTCCAGGGAAAAGGCGGTTCCATGGATTTAAAATTCCAGGGGAAAAAGGGGTTCAATGGAATTGAAATTCCAGGTAAAAGGGAATTCCAGGGAATTAAAATTCCAGGGCTGGTTTCCAGGGAAAAGGGCGCTCAAGGGACTTAAAATTTCAGGGGAAAAGGTGTTTCAAGGATTTAAAATTCCAGGGGAAAAGGGAGCTCCAGGGAATAAAAATTCCAGGGCTGGATTCCAGGGAAAAGGTGGTTCCAGGGAATTGAAATTCCAGGGAAAAGGGGGTACCAGCGAGTTAAAATTCCAGGGAAAAAGGGGTTCCAGGGAATTGAAATTCCACAGTTGGATTCCAGGCAAAAGGGGACTTTAGGGATTTAAAATTCCAGGGAGAAAGGGGGTTCCATGGTTTTAAAATTCCAGGGCTGGATTCCAGGGAAAATGGGGCTCAAGGGATTTTAAATTCCAGGGAAAAAGGGGGTTCTGGGGATTTAAAATTCCAGGGATTTAAAATTCCAGGGAAAAGGGGATTCCAGGGATTTAAAATTCCTGGGAAAAGGGGGCTCCATGGGTTTAGAATTTCAGGGAAAAGGGGATTCTGGGAATTTAAAATTCCAGGGAAAACGGGGCTCCAGGTAATTAAAATTCCACAGCTGGATTCCAGGGAAAGGGAGATTCCAGGGAATTAAAATTCCAGGGAAAAGGGGGTTCCAGGGATTGAAAGGGATGTTGAAAGGTTCCCTCAAATCTCAGAACCTGGTCTGGAAATGCTCGGTGGGCATTTAGAATTCCGGAATTGTTTAGGAATTTAAGGATGATCCCATTCTCATCCCATTCCATGGGCAGGGATTTTCCACCATCCCAGATTCTCCAAACCCTGTCCAGCCTTTCCTTGGACATTCCAGGGATCCAGGGGCAGCCACGGCTGCTCTGGGAATTCCATCCCAACCAGGAATTCCTTCCCCATATCCCATTTTCCCAGTCCAGGGAAGGAGCTGGATCCAAGCTCCGGAACCAATTTTTCAGCCTGGATTCACCAGAGCAATTCCAAGCCCTGGCATTGATTCCTTGGATAATCCGGGAATGTCCACTTTTTGGAATTTTTATTTGGATTTATGGGAATTTTTGGTGGAGTTTGTGGTAATTTTTGTTGGGAATTTATTGGTATTTATGGGAATTTTTGGAGGAGTTTGTGGGAATTTTTATTGGGATTTATGGGTGTTGCAGCCGTCGAGGATCCAATCCAAATAGTTGGAATATTTTGGGATGGATGAGCTTGAGCTCCTCGCTTCCCTGGATTTCCACTCCAGGAGTAGAAATATTCCCGACGGAATCAAATATTCCCGGATTTTCCGGCAGGTACGGGAACGGCCAGGTCTACAAGGGTTATTTCAAGGACGACGCGCGCCACGGATTCGGGATCCTGGAGAATTCCTCGGCTCAGCGTCCCTTCAAATACACCGGCCACTGGGAAAAGGACAAAAAGAGCGGATACGGAGTCTGGGAAGACAAGGAGAGGTAAAAGCGGGATGGATCCGAGGTGTGGGACAGCTTCGGGATCACTGGGATCCATCCTGGACGTTTGGGATGGATCCACGGAGATGTATGGCTGGAATTCCTTGGGAAATGTTCCCAGAGTTCCGTTTGCGCGGGATAACCCGGGAGGGACGGGTCCGACGGGGAGAGGCGGGAAAAGCAAGGAAAAATCCATGGATGGGGTTTTGCCGGCATTCCAGAGGGGAGAGGTACATCGGGATGTGGTGGGATGACCGCAGGCACGGAGACGGAATCGTGGTGACGCACTCAGGGCTCTGCTACCAGAGGAGGTTCCAGGCGGATAAAATGGTGGTGAGTCCGGGATTTCCATGGAATCCGGGAATCCCCAGTACCGGGAATTCACTGTGTGGGGCCGGGGGGAGGTTCTGGTCTGGAATTAAATCTCAGAGGATAAAGAGGGTTGGAGATCAGGGAAAGGTTTTGCTCCGGGAGGGGGATGGGAATGGATATTTGGGAATGGATTCCCAAAGGAATAGGCGCTATAATATCGGATTGTATCAATCAGATCAGATTGGATCAGATCACATAATATCAATTATATCGTATCATATCATATATCATATCGTACCGTATCATATTGTATCAATCTTATCACATCATATCAATCATATCACATCATATCAATCATATATCAGTCATATCATATCTCATATCTCATATCTCATATCTCATATCTCATATCTCATATCATATCATATCTCATATCATATATCAATCATATTGTATCATATCATATCAATCATATAATATCATATATCAATCATATCATATCATATACCAATCATATCAATCATATCAATCATATCATAGAAATCATATATCATACCTTATCAAATCAATTATATTGTATCATATCGTATCACATCATATCAATCATATCAAATCAAATCAATCATCAATCATATCAATCATATATCATATCTATCATATCAATCATACTGTAACATATCATATCATATCATATCATATCATATATCATATCTATCATACCATATAAATCATATCAATCATATCAATCATATCATATCATATCTTATGTATCATATCAATCATATCAAACTGTATCATATCATATCATATCATATCATATCATATCATATCATCTGTATCGTATTATATCAATCGTATCGTATCGTATTGTATCGTATCGTATCATATCATATCAATCATATCGTATCATATCATATCATATCATATCATATCATATCAATCATATCATATCATACCTTATCAAATCAATGATATCGTATCTTATTTTATCACATCATATCAATCATATCGTATCATATCATATCATATCATATCATATCATATCATATCATATATCATATTATATTTCATATCATATATCATATCATATATCATATGATATTATATCATACCTCATCATATCATATCACATCAAAATATATCTGTCATATATCAATCATATCATATCAGTCATATCTTATCGAATCATATCATACCAATCATATCAATCATATCATCTCAATCCTATCATAGCAATCATATATCATATCAATCATCAATCATATCAATCATATCAATCATATTGTATCATATATCATATGTATCATACCATATAAATCTTATCAATCATATCAATCGTATCATATCATATCAATCGTATCGTATCGAATTGTATCGATCATATCAATCAAGTAATATCAAATGTTATCAAATCATATCAAATCATATCAATGTAATGTATCGTATCATATTGTATCATATCATATCAATCACATCAATCTTATCAATCATATCTATCATACCATATAAATCATATCAACCATATCATATCTACCTAATCAATCATATCATAACAATCATATGAATCATATAATATCAATCATATCAGTCATTATATCAATCATATCAATCATATCAATCACATCATATCAATCATATCAATCATTATATCATATCAGATCACATCAATCACATCATATCAATCATATCATATCAATCACATCAGTCATATTATATCATCATATTATATCATATCAGATCACATCAATCATACCATATCAATCATATCATTCACATCAATCATATCAATCGCATCAATCATATCAATCAGATCAATTATCAATCATACCATATCAATCATATCATTCACATCAATCATATCAATCGCATCAATCATATCAATCAGATCAATTATATAATTTCAGTCATATAATACCAATTGTATCAATCAAATCAATCAAATCAATAAAATAAATCATATCAATCACATCTGTCACATCAATCACATCAATCAAATCAATAATATTAATCAAATAAATCATATCAATCATATCAATCATATCAAATCAATCACATAAATCACATCAATCATATCAATCATGTCAATCAAATAAATCATATCAATCAGATCAATTATATAATTTCAGTCATATAATACCAATTGTATCAATCAAATCAATCAGATCAATCATATCAATCAGATCAATCACATCAGTCAGGTCTATCAGATCAAATCAATCACATCAATCACATCACTCACATCAATCGAATCAACCATTTCAATCAGATCAATCATATCAATCATATCAAATCAAACACATCAATCAAATCAATCAAATCAATCATATCAATCATATTAATCATATCAAATCAATCACATCAATCAAATCAATCAGATCGATCAGATCAAATCAATCATATCAATCACATCAAATCATCAAATCAATCAAATCAATCATATCAACCATATCAAATCAATCACATCAATTATATCATGTCAATCATATCAATAATGTCAATCAAATCAATCATATCAATCAGATCAATTTGGATTTTCCCAAAGAAAATCACATTTTCCTTGGAATTGTCTTGGAATCATTTCCCAAACAATTCCCTAAAATATCTTTCCTGAATTCCCAGAATTCCTAAAATTCTTTGGAATTTTCCCAAAGAAAATCGCGGTTTCCTTGGAATTCTCTTGGGAATTTTTCCCAAAGAATTCCCAACTTTTTTCCTCATCCCAAGGGCTCGGGAATTCTGTTCCTGGAGGACGGATCCGTCTACGAAGGGAATTTCACGGAAGATCTGACGTTTGTGGGAAAGGTGGGAATTCCTTCCACAATTCCATATTCCCAAATTTTGGGAATATTCCTCATTCCCAGAAGGAAAGCCGAAGCCGGGAGATTTTTGGGAATATTTGGGATTTTTTGGGAATAATTTGGGATTTTTAATGATTTATTTATCATGGGTTTTGATGGGATTGGGGGTTTTTTTGGGGGGGGTTTATTGGGATTTATGGGAATTTTTGATGGAATTTGTGGGAATTTTTAGGGGATTTTAATTGGGATTTATGGGAATTTTTGGTGGAGTTTTTTGGGAATTTTTAGGGGATTTTAATTGGGGTTTATGGGAATTTTTGGTGGAATTTTTTTGAATTTTAAGGGGATTTTAATTGGGATTTATGGGAATTTTTGGTGGAGTTTTTTGGGAATTTTTCAAGGGTTTTCTTGGGATTTATGGGACATTTTTGTTGGAATTTTTGGGAATTTTTAGGGGATTTAAATTGGGATTTATGGGAATGTTTGGTGTAATTTATGGGAATTTTTGTAGGGATTTTATTGGGATTTATGGGAATTTTTGATGAAATTTTTGGGAATTTTTCGAGGGTTTTCTTGGGATTTATGGGAATTTTTGTTGGGAATTTATTGGGATTTATGGGAATTTTTAGTGGAGTTTTTAGGAATTTTTGGGTCATTTATTGGGACTTTTTGGTTGGATTTTTTGGGAATTTTTGGGGGAGGATTTTCTTGGGATTTATGGGAATTTTTATTAGAATTTGTGGGAATTTTTGGAGGTTTTTATTGGAATCAATGGGACATTTCTTGGGGGATTTTATTGGGATTTATGGGAATTTTTAGTGGAGTTTGTGGGAATTTTTATTGGGATTTATGGGAATTTTTAGTGGAGTTTGTGGGAATTTTTATTGGGATTTATGGGACATTTTTGATGGAATTTGTGGGAATTTTTGTAGGGATTTTATTGGGATTTATGGGAATTTTTGGTGGAATTTGTGGGAATTTTTCGAGGATTTTAATTGGGATTTATGGGAATTCTTAGTGGAGTTTTTGGGAATTTTTCTTGGGTTTTTATTGTAATTGATGGGAATTTTTTGGAGGGATTTTATTGGGATTTATGGGAATTTTTGGTGGAATTTTTGGGAATTTTTCGAGGGTTTTCTTGGGATTTATGGGAATATTTGGTGGAGTTTGTGGGAATTTTTGGAGGGGTTTATTGAGAGTTTTTGGTTGGGATTTTGGGAATTTTAGGGGGAGGATTTTATTGGGATTTATGGGAATTTTTGATGGAATTTTTCGAGGGTTTTCTTGGGATTTATGGGAATTTTTGATGGAATTTGTGGGAATTTTTAGGG